ATACCTTGCTGATCCCGTCAAGGAGCATAAACCATCATCACGCAAACTCGGGTCATCTTCGCAGCAGCGGATTTTGGTTATTCACCGAACAAAGACGATCACTGCATCGGGCGCTTTTAGATGCGCTTCTGCGGCCGTCTGGAATGCTCTCCCTTCTGATAAGCCACTGGAGCTATGCACTTTTAAGTCTAGATTGAAAAACTAATTTCTTTACAACTGATTTTTTCTATTTCGTTTGTTGTCCTTCTCCCGCACCTTCAATTAACAGGGTTGGCTACGTACGGTGTAAAATAAGTTCAACATACGTACATACATACATTCTTAGTTTTGTTGCTTCAGTTTGACTCACATCTGTTTGTTCAATATCATTCCTTTTTACATCAATACACCTTTCATGTCTCGTGCTGCATGTTTCCTTGAACTTGATTATGGATGCTCGCTTTGGTCAGGCAGGCCACATTGTATACACAAGTTTTCCATGTTTTTTTTGGCAAAGTTTCACTTGAAACAGCCAATGACTTTTGGGACTTTTGTCTCGCCACCACGTCAAATGCAGGGGACACATTTCAAATGATCGGTGATGAACACAACACTGCCGGACCCGTTATGAGCGAACTCCACGAGGCCCTGTTTACTTGAAGCTCAGATGATGCTTCAAGTAGTGGCATACCATTGGTTGTTGGCATAGGCCTTGGAACAATTAATAAAATTGGGCCCCCCATGTCAATTTCCCCTCCCCTCTTCGTAGCCCGGCAGCTGGACTACCTCCGGGCCTGGGGGGTGGGGGGCATGGGTACAGTTGAACCCAAGACAAATTCCACCCCGGTGCAGGCTCATCGTCGCCTATCATTGTAATAAGCGTATCAATGTCTGTGCCTCGTGCATGTATGTTGAACTTCTTTCGCGCCTGCGCGTAGCCAACCGTGCTCGTCGTGGAACTTGTACGATCATAATGAAACTGATCGTCCCCCACGTGAATCGAACAAAGTGTGGCCGCACCGCTGCTGACACATTGAGCGTATGCTTGCTCTTGTCTTGACGTCATGCAGCCCAAACAAAACGGCGGGCACGCGATGAATTATTCAGATCGCAGGTGACAGTTGTTTTCACTGCGTCACTGTGCACATTAATATTCCATTTTAATGTACACATCGTGGATTGTACGTGGACGCGCTGCAAGCCTCTGTCGGTCGACGGTTGGAGGAGGGCCTCCCGCGCGGCACGATGGGTTTGTTGGGGTTAATTGACGCGACCTCGCCATGCTGGTCAGTGTGGCTTGGTGAAGATGGGGAGCATAGAGGTGCAATACAAACGTGGATTTTACTGCACTGCTCTCTTGCTATCCACAATGTAGCCACAAAGCCTGAGACGGCCTTCTGTGCATTTCTGATCATTTGGCCTTGTGGATTCTCTCCTTTAGTTTCCTTCCGTCCTCTGAAAGACGAGGTGGCTGTATTTAGATATCTCTACCTGTTGCTGCCTTGTACCAGCTTCCGTGCTTCCTTTACCTCGAGTATTATTGTTCGACATACATTTCCACTGTGCATCCTTTGATCCTCATCTATTTCTTGAACGGTGTGCTTGTGTGCATAATGCCAGGTTTGTTTGTTTTGGATCCAAACCATCAATTGCCTCTTAAATCTTTCTCTATCAGTGTTGCATCTTGTCCCACTCATTCTCTCACTGAATCATTTCATATTTTGCGTAGTCTCGATACTCGGGATTATTCCGGCAGCTCATTTTGTCGGAATTTGTGCCATACATCGTTATCGGCGAAACGTCATACTCGAATGGTAAATGTTGCGGGTTTGCTCTCCAACACACAACCGGTGTGCTGACCGAGTTACGAATTGGTATGTTTTATTTACGTGACAAACCTTACGAATTGATTGTCGGGTGGTGGCGGGTTTAACGACACGTTTATATTCACACGCTCTCACCAAAAAAACTGCCCTCTATTATGGACAGCTATAGTTCATAGGCCTTGGTTTTTTTTTGGTAAATATCTCTCGTGGACCATCTATTGCTGAGCTTCACAAAGGCTACCGCTGCGAATGTACGATGCTTCTCTCGATGTCTTCTCAACGGCTTCTATTTTGTGTCACTTGGCCTCCAAGGTACACAAATGTGTCGCCCTTTTTATAACCCCTTTCTTCCACCTTTGTCGTTAATTCGTCCTCTCGTCTTCCAGTCGTCATGAGCTTTGTCCTTTCCCTGTTGATACACAATCCAAATATTCTTCTTATGTCGGTGATAGGGTGCGCACCCCGTCTCCTCACCCCTAAAAAGACATCCTGAATGATTCTGTTAACTTTGTAACCACTCTGACTGCGCCTGCTGACTGGCTGTAGATTCTGTATAGCAACTTGAGCAACTTCTCTGCCATGCCGTTCCCTTCTCAGAGCCTGCCATAGCCCTTTCTGCCAGATGCCATCAAAAGCCTGTTTGATGTCAATGTCAAGTTATTCTAATATTTCCTATTATATTTGGCATGCTATTAAGAGATGTGTCTGATTGTAAGTAACTGGTCTATCATACTTCTTCCTGCTCTAAATTAAACTTGTTCATCTCCCAATGCTGTTTCTATGTACCTCAGAATTCTTCATGAACACTATCCCTGCTACACTTCACAGTCTGATTCTTCGATAATTATTGAACTCGCTCTTGTCTTCTTTTTTGCATATAGGTAATATGATCGCTTTTCCCTGCTCATTCGGTACTTGCTCCTGCTGACTAATCTTGCTTAAACGCTTGCGTGGCTTTCTTACACTTGCTTACCCAGCTTGAATATGCATTTGTACAATTCTTAATGAAATTAAAACCTTGGTTTTTTTGTCTTTTGTTTTTACCTATTCTTTGCAAAAATAAAAACATGTCGTGGGTTTTTTTTCCTGGCCAAAGCGGTTTAAGCCTTGGGCAAGTTCCATCACTGCCCCTGTCCATATAGTGGTATCCTGCTGACACTGGAGAAGGCCGATTGGTAAACCGTTTGTGGTGGAGTGTGTGTGCCACACCTTCAGTTCAAGAATGCGAGGGGGTTAAATGTAGTGCAAATGTTAGTCCACCATGCTATGAACCTGTTTGATTTCCATTCACGGCTAACATCAGTGGCTAATGATATCTGAACCGGTCCTAGATCCTGGTCACTCCTTTTCACCACCCCGCAATGACCAGCATGGACCTGCACCGGGAGGTCTAGAATACCCTTGAGAGGATATTTGGCCTACTCTTTCAGGCTGGCCAGACAGAGTAACCACACTGCACCCCGCCACATGCAGCCTCCCAGTCGACTTACTGGTGTACCCCTCTATACTGCAGGGTGAATAGAGGCAGGGGGGTTGTATAAAGTCGCTCATTGCAAGTCCAGCATGCTAACCATTATATTACGTCAGCATCCAATGTAGAATTGTGTGCGAAAAAATACTGGGTGTTGTGGAGGCTTGGGAGGATAGGTACAGCAGAGCAATTGTAGGCAATCTCTTGCACAACAGGAAGGGATGTGCTATTGCATGATTTTTATAGGCTGCACTTAGACAAACATCTCGAATTTACGCAACATTTCTCAGTATAGTACTTATTAAATTTCAGGACTGCAGGGGTGTTTGTAAAATACTGAGAATGCCAGATTTGACTCTCATAAGAACTTACTGTTTTGCATACTACCATTATCTGCAGAATATTCTATGCTCTGGAAAGCAAGACTCTCCTCAAACGTGTTCTGTGTCAACAAAGTTACACAATACATACACACACCTACTGGATTTAAGAGACACACACCCAACTTTATCTTTAACATACACTCAAGGGAAAAAAATGTGTCTTATAATCCAGAGAATATGGTAGAACCCTAGTAAATTAGTTTGGACACACTGCATTATTAGCTTGGTGACCTACGTTTTTTGATTGGCCATGGTCTCTGAATTTCCAAGTATAGCCAAAAATCCCAAATAACTGACATGGCATGAGGATGCCTTCATACAGTTGTGGATTGATACAAGGGTTCAAATACATTACTTTATTATATTACTATATTAAACATATCCTTTGCATTTAAACACATACTTAAATACACTATATAAAAATTAGCATTGCATTTTTGGGATTGCCATTGTTGCTACTTTATCATGAATAAATCAACAACCACAAAACAATCAGAAATCAGTCAATATGATGCAAAACACATCACGTTGACTGATAACAGCACTTAGACTTGCGCAGCATGTCTGTGTACTTATGTTGAAGTTATTTCGCACCGCTCGTAGTCAACCGTGCTAATGCGGAGGTGTCCACAGACGGGCATACCAGACGAAGGGGAGACCATCACGGAGATGGAGCGATGAATTACATGAGCTCGTGTGCAGGTGCTGGATGGATTGTTGCACCGAAGGACTTATGGAGACAATTTGGTCCAGCAGTGGACACAGATCAGAGCTGATGATGAATCCCAATTCAGAGAGCCATTTGCAGGTATGTCCGCCTTAAATCCAATTTAAGAGTCATGGGCATCTGCATATTAAATCGATCTTTTGAATGACATATTTCCACTTGTCACAAAGGCGCAACTTGGCATAAGCCCGTGCAAAGTTCAACGGATACAGTATAAAGGGCAGCTTTGTTTAACTGCGAATTTCACGCGCCGTGTGCTGTCGATGCAGGCAGAGAATAATAAAGCCAACGAGGCTGGGATCACACGCTGCCGAGGGCGCGTGACAGACGGATTCGTCGCTCGTGCAGTCGGCCCAAGGTTCACCTACAACGCGTTAACGTGGAACGGCGGGTGCTGCGTCTGGTGATACCCCGTGCATCTTCGCAGAGAATGCACAAACTACCCCCCCCCCCGCCACATGTAGCTTCTCTCTCGTCGTGCATTTTGATGATGGTTACATTCTGAAACCACCCCCCCCATATCTCACAACCGGTTCGGCCGGATGTAAATAGCCCAAGGGGCGGTTACAACTCTGTAATTTTTTTCCCACCTTCTACTTTTGCCCTTCGTGAAGAGAGAGAGAGACGAGAGAGAAGAGAGAGAAAACCCGCCAGCCAGACACTTTAAACAAAACAACACATCTTTGAGTTCCAGGCTGTGGACCGAGAGGGTTGCACGCCACTAACGAAGCGAATGTTATAAACCTCGAGACGGTACGATCGAGAGAGAGAAGAGAGAGAAGAGTGATGGCTCATCGCAAGAATCTTCAGTCGAGGCTCGCCAAGCTCACCAACTTCTATCAGTCTTTGGGCAAAGATGCGGATGCCGACACGGAGTCTGGCTCCGAGGCTGGATGGGAGCCCGGCTACAGTGACAGGTGAGAGGGGCACAGGTAGCCACAGGGCGGTGGGTCGGCCTCGTCGCTTCCTCCCTTCGCGACTTTTAAGGTCGCCCCTGTCGGCTCTTTCAAACAACAACAACAACGCGCACGAGAGAGAAGCGACTGCAAGCGATGTTACATCGGCCGCGTACTTTTGATCCGTGTCTTTCATTTTTGTCGTCGTCGGTTGTACAGATTTGATTGACGCGGCGTGAGTTTGGGGAGTTGTGAACCACCCATCCCACCCATTAGCCCTCGTGTGCCACCACAGTTGTCGGCCTTCGTAGGGTGCTTGCTGACACTCGCTACTCGCAAGCACTTGCCCCTGCAGCCTGTCGCAGGCTACACGGGGGATCTTTGTCTCATGGGGTCGTTCGCCGGCGAGAAATGATGATGGCGATTATTGTGATGATGAATGATAATGACCCTTAGGGGGTTGTACAGAGACGCACGCTTAGCGTTGAGAAATAATCTGAATTAACAACAACCTTCAGCTGTGACACAAGTTTTACGACGACTTGCGGTAACAAGGCAAGTGTTTTGCTTCACGTTTTGCCCTCCGAAGCTGCCGAGTGATCTGATAACGCTGTTAACCTTGTAAAAACATTCCTACTGTCACGTTTTCACAGTGTGTCTTTAAACCACCACCACTACCACGGGTCTACTGTACTGTTCAAATAGTTTTAAAATGCAACATATGTTCCCATTCTGCTTCAAGTAAACATTTAACTTTCGATTTAAAGCTTTCGTGACTGCAGGGATTCATCTTCTTGGTTCTTTCGGTAAAGTCACGTAGAGGCAGCAAGTGCAGCAGCAGCAGCAAGTGCAGCAGCAGCAGCAAGTGCAGCAGCAGCAGCAAGTGCAGCAGCAGCAGCAAGTGCAGCAGCAGCAGCAAGTGCAGCAGCAGCAGCAAGTGCAGCAGCAGCAGCAACTGCAGCTCCCTTTGATGCTATTAATCCTGCATAATGCACATGCATATGCAGTACTAATCACATTCCTGCATTTCACATAAATATGCTAAATTCCTTTTGATATGCAAATTCCTTTGTCAATGCGCCCAGCTTATATATATGCTCCAAGCTCGTGTGCTGTTTCATTCAGACTCTGTCGCCTCGACGGACCTGGTTTTCACCTGAGGACGGCTGCTTGCGTTGTGGCCGAAACGTCGTGAGAATTGTTTTATTATGTTTTATTATTTTATTACTTCCCTTCTACGTGACTTTACCGAAAGAACCAAGAAGAACATTTAACTTCTTTATATTTTAGTTTAATTTAAGTTCCCAAGTGTTTATGAAATCACATTCCACCAACAAGGGCAATTTGCCCAAATCATTGTTGATATTGCATATAGTTTTGGTACAAGGCCCCATGTATTATATGACCATGTCATGATTAAATCTGACATGTTATTTTCCATACATGTGAACAGTGGCGGCTCCTGCAAAATCTCTCAGGGGGGGCAAATGTCTGGATGATTGATAAGGATAAGGTCCACCCATGCAATGGATAAATTAACAGCTTAAGCATGTAAAGGCAACTTCACTTCTTTAATATTAATGAAAAATAAAGTGACTCTTACAATACATCATGTTTCTATACTCACTATTATTACAATCCACTCAGTTTCATTTATTAAAGATTCCACTAGGTGGCGACAAATAATATTTTTGACTGAAACGTGCTTACGTATGATGACGTAAGCACGTTAGTGCGAGCCCTCCCGGAAGCCATAGAGAATGCATTGGAGCGCCCGCCGTTCGAAAAAAAACATCTTTGAATGTAAGTCTATAGGAACACTCTGGGCGATTCTCAGCCAGAGTGAAATCGCCCAAAAAGAGGCGGTACTCCACAGAACGTGACATGACGCTGATTGGACTATATCCAGAGGCACAGTAACGGCTCGCGTAACTCTGTGGTTCAATGACATTGGTGGTGCGTCGCCCAATCGCCCTAATGAAGAAACCGCCCCTGCATGTGAAGAGGAGTCGTAGACTGGTTATGCACTTGCTTATTCTTCAACCCACAGCCACACTCGTTCCTAAAACCAACCCCGAACATGCGTCTCACAGCCCCTTTTAAACCCTAAATCCCTGCCCTCGTTCCCAATACACATCCTCGTCTCCCACGCCGGGTCCGTGTGACGTCTGTGCCTTTTAACCCTTGACCCCCGTCTTGTGGATTCCCGTGCATGTGATTGGTGCGTGCTATGCTGAGTGCGGAGATTTCATGTCTGCATGGTGCGAGTGCGTGAGGATGGCTCGCAGATCCCTTACATCACCCCCCCCCCCCCCCTTCCTTGAGACAGAGCCGTCTCCGGTTCAACAACTGTGTGCCTCGGCCGGTCAAAGCCAACTGCGGCCGGGCGCATGTAATTTCAGCAACAACAAAATGTGCAATAAAGGCAAAAGTAACACAACACAATTCCCCCTCCGTCCCCTTGTTAACAAGAGTGCCGCCTTTGTCGCAGACTTCCCCCATGATCCGATCCCTCGACCGAACACAACAGGGTTGCAGGGATGTCCGTGTCCACAGCTGCGACGAGGCGGCGTGAGCGTGAGCGGGTTAAGAGGCCCAGTCCTGTGGCCAAGTCCTCAGCCGATGCCGCGGCTGCGTCTTCAGCCACAGACGCCGATGGATCCGGTGCTGGCATCCCGGTCACCTGTAGTCCTGCAGGATGGGCAGTGGCTGCATTGTCAGTCGGACGTATAGCAGGCCGCGAGTGTGACAACCTCCTCCCAACCGGCCGAACTGACGATGAAGGTGGTGAAGGTGACGATGCTCTTAGGGGCAGCTCGGCCACGACGTAACGTTTTAGCCTAGAGGGGTGAACGTACCACCTACGTTTTCCCAACTGAATGCAAACACATTGAGGTCGCAATACCTGCACCACTGTGACCGGGCCCTGCCAGGGCCGGTGCAGTTTCGCTCACCTACGTAACGGTAACTGTCGGCAGTGTTAGCCAAGCCTGGTCACCCACTGCAAAGGGATCCGCGACCGGCGGCTTAGCCCGCAAGTGCTTGTTCGTAGCTAGTGCAGATGCGGATGCTGCCGAGGCCGCCTTGCGAGCCTCATGCGGAACGCGGCTGACCAATCTCTCGAACGCGATGGGACAGGGCGCAACTGTGCCTCAATCGGAGGGCTCGGCTCGCGTCCATACATCAAGAAAAAGGGTGAGTATCCTGTTGATGCCTGCGGCGCCGAGCGATAGGCCTTTAAAACCCCAGGGATGTGCAAATCCCAGTCCGTCTGCTGGTCATTGATCATCCCCGAGATGGTGCGGTTAAAGCATTCTACCATCACGTCCGTTTATGGGTGGTAAGGGGATGTCCGCACCCTCTTGACACCCAGCATGTCACACACCTCCTGCAAAAACTTGGAGGAAAAGTTTCTGCCCTGGTCCATCAGCAGCCACTCAGGAGCCCCCTTTTCAGCGACATACCCATTTACAAAAGCGTCCGCTGTGGATGCCACAGTCTGGTCGGCCAATGGGCAGGCAAAGGGCCAGCATGTAAAGTACTCCATCCCCACCAGTAGGTATCTACTTCCTCGGAGTGGCGGAGAAGGGGCCCAATATATCGAGGGCCACGAGCTCGTTTACCCGAAAAACTTCCTGCACGCAGAGTCTGCGCACGCCGATACCCCACGGATATCGGCGGACATGCCCAGCCAAAAATAGCGAAGGCGTAGCACAGCCTCGGTCTTACGGCTACCTAGATGGAGCAACTGTCGGGCGTGAACATTGGAGCATAGCTGACTCCGCAGGGAGGAGGGGCATCATCAGGACTTTACGGTTCACAGTCATATCCCAGCGCATCAACAAGCCTTCCCACATGAGGAAAAACTTCCCTTACGTGGGGAGATCGTCAGCACGTGCCGTCTCCGCCAGCCGGCGAAGTGGTGCTAAAGCCGCGTCTGCCTGCTGCTGGTCCCTCCATTCCCGCAGGGTGAGCCCCAAGTCACAATCAAGCGATACCGGCGGCCCCACTCGGTCCGTGTCTACAGCGCGCGGATCCGTTGCCGCAGGTGCACTTAACGGGGGCTGCCAGTCTAGACAATGCATAGGCGTTAGTATGCCTGATTCCTTTCCGATGCACCACTCGATACGTGTACTCTTGCAGCTGCTCGAAACATCGGGCCATCTGGCCAGTCGCTTGGTCAATGCGGAGTGAGTACTGCAATGCCGCATGATCCGTCCGAACAGTGAAGTCGCGGCCGTACAGGTAGGGCTAAAAGTGCTGAACAAAGTGGACAACATCAAGTAACTCGCGGCGCGTAACGCAATACTGCTGCTCGGCCTGCGACAAGACATGACTTCCGTCGGCAATGACAACCTCTCTGCCCTCCTGAATCTGGGAGAGAACGGCCCGATTGCCCACGTCGCTCGCATCCGTATCCAGCAGGAAGGGAATCGAAAAATCAAGGTATGCTAGGGGCGGCGCTTTTGTCAAACGCTGGCGCAGTGTCAAGAACGCGTCGGTCTCTGCCTGGCCCCAACGAAACGACTGTGCCTACGCCGTGAGCGCATGCAAGTGCTTAACGATGGGAGCAAAGTTCTCGACAAAACGGCGGTAATAGGATACAAACCCCACGAATCTGCGGACTTCAGGCACGGACATGAGTATTGACCAATCACGGACGCACGCCATTTTGTTGGGATCTGTCGCGACCCCTGACGCGTTAATGACATGACCCAAGTATTTTATGGAGGAGCGATGGCACTTGGAGGGTTTTAACTTGAGGTTCGCATCATGAATTTTCGAAAATACCTGTCACAACCGGGTTAAGTGCTCCTTGAATGTGCAAGCAAATATAATTACATCGTGCAGATAGATGAGACACGACTCCCACTGCAATCCCTTAAGTACCAGCTCCATCAATCGCTGTAAGTGGCATGAGCCGTCTGTAAACCCATCGGCAAACAGTTGAAATGAAAGAGACCTTGAGGTGTTCTGAAAGCTGTTTTCGGTCTGGATTCGGTATCTAGTGGTAGCTGCCA